AAATTATTCATACCCCTACCAATTTTGTTTTTTTTTTGAGATATTTTTTTGACAAATCAAATTTATTCTTGCACAAATGACACAGTAAGTTGACATAAGGCTGTAAGAAGTACAGTAAACAATTTTTCAAGAAATACAATACTTCTTGGTATTTTATTTGATAGATTTACAAAAAATGCCATGTCCAGAATTATTCATACCCTTTTCTCAGTAATTGATGGCAAAGCCTTTATTCATGATTACAGCCTCTAAACGCTTCCTGTGGTTGATCAGAAGGTTTCTACACGTCTGCACGGGGATTTTGGCCCACTCCTCTTTGGCAAACTTCTCCAGATCCTTAAGGTTTAAGGGTTTCTTTGCCATGACCTTGGTCCTCAGTTCTCTGCACAGATTTTTGATAGGAGTGAGGTCGGTGCTCTGGCTTGGCCACTCCAAAATGTTCACTTTGTTGTCCATTTACCATTTCTTGACAGATTTGGCCATGTGTTTAGGATCATTATCCTGTTGGAAGATCCATTCCTGCCCAAGACCAAGTTTTTTGAGGATCGACGGTGGATTGGCTGTGTTTTCACTGAGGATCTGGATATACTGGTCCTGTTTCATGATGCCATTAACTTTACCAAGGTTTCTGGGCCCATTTGCTGAAAAGCAACCCCAGAGCATTATACTCCCGCGACCGTGTTTGACCGTTGGGACAGTTTTTCAGGTTGAACACTTCACCTTTCTCATGCCACTTACACTTCTCCAACCCAGACACACAAGAGCTCGTCTAGCCTTCTCAAAACTCACCTGGATGAAGATACAAGCCTCTGGCTGTCAATGTCATGGACGATGAAACAAAGATGGAGCCGTTCAGGCACAGAGATGGGGCTTTTGTTTGGCGTAAGAAAGGTGAAGCGTTGAACCCGAAAAACACGGTCCCAACGGTCAAACACGGTGGCAGGAGTATCATGCTCCGGGGTTGCTTTTCAGCGAATGGGCCTGGAAACCTTGTTAAAGTTAAAGGCATCATGAAACAGGACCAGTATATCCAGATCCTCAGTGAAAACATTAAGCAATCAGCCGAAAAACTTGGTCTGGGGCAGGAATGGATCTTCCAACAGGATAATGATCCTAAACATACGTCCAAATCCGTCAAGAAATGGTTAGTGGACAACAAAGTGAACGTTTTGGAGTGGCCAAGCCAGAGCACCGACCTCAATCCTATCAAAAATCTGTGGAGGGAACTGAAGACCAAGGTCATGGCAAGGAGACCCTCAATCCTAAGGACCTGGAGAAGTTTGCCAAAGAGGAGCGGGCCAAAATCCCTGTGGAGACGTGTAGAAACCTTGTGATCAACTACAGGACGTGTTTGGAGGCTGTAATCGTGAATAAAGGCTTTGCCATCAATTACTGAGAAAAGGGTATGAATAATTCTGGACATGGCATTTTTTGTAAATATGTCAAAATACCAAAAAGAATTCTATTTCTTGAAAAATTGTTTACTGTACTTCTTACAGCCTTATGTCAACTTACTGTGTCATTTGAGCAAGAATAAATTTGATTTGTCAAAAAATATCTCAAAAAAACCAAAAATTGGTAGGGGTATGAATCATTTTGGGCGCGACTGTGTGTGTATATATATATATATATATATACAGTATCTCACAAAAGTGAGTACACCCCTCACATTTCGTCAAGTAATTGATTATATCTTTTCAAGGGACTACGTTACAGAAATGAAATGTATATATATATATATATATTTATACTATATATGTATACGTATATGGAACTGAGTGTTCATTCCAGTGTGGATGTAGAAGTTCCCACCAATGTGCTGCACTTTTTTTGGTTGCTTCCCCCTGATCTTTCACTCCAGTAAGTCCTGAACTGGGTGGATTTTAACCTTGTACCATTTGACAGTATATACAGAGGGTAAAACATTTCATTTTCATATAAAGCAGTGTACAATAACATGAGTAAAGCGTGTCCAAACTTTTTATTGGTACTGTGCGTAATCCAGACTTCACCTGTTCTTATTCACTTCTCTATCACGCTGATTAACTTTGCCAGCGTCCTGTTTCCAGTCTAGACTATTTTTAAACCCCTGCATTTCCACAGTTTTGTGAAGTCTAGTTTCCCCCACAGAAGTTGCAAGCTGTGTTCTGTGTCTTGGTTCAGCACATGGGTCTACACAGACAAAAATCTGGTCTATGTTACTCTGGTGTTATGTTTGTGGCGTGATAGCAAAGGTGATTAATTTGCAAGTGTATGGCTATAATGCTAGGCAGTAAAATTGTTTGTTCTGGTCATTTTAACTGGAGCTTATTGTTTTTTTTTCTTTGTAGGAAGTGCACTGTCTTTAATGATGCAGCTGTCACGCTCATATCACAATTTTGCTGGCCTATTCCTATTCCTATAACCCAGACAGGTTACACAAGTTTGCATTCCCCTTGCCTCCATCATTTCAAAACACCACAGCATTCTCAACTACAACGTAGAAAATTCAAAAAATTTAGCCGCTTGCTTCAGCGAGAAAAGTTGAAGAGGTTGGCTTATGAAATGAAGGTGCTTGGAAACTGAGAGGCAAAGGAAATTGCTGAAGAAATGTAGAAAAACTGCTGAGATGTAAACACAAGACTTTAAAGCTGAAAGTAATTGTTTAAGGAATTGTGACTTTTCAGCTGCATCATGACCGAGTCTACTCTTCTTCAACCCAGCTGTAAAAAAAAAAAGGTCAATTGGAGTCAATGAGGTTGACGCATTTCTCTCTATGGCTCTGTGCATATCTAGGTCAACGCAGTACATGCTGAGAAACTACCCTTATAGCGGAGCAAACATGGCAAGTCACATTGGCAGACTACCGCAGCTGTTGTTGCTTAAAGCTCATTGTCAGTGTCTCCCCCAGTCCCTAACTATACAACGCTGACCTGGCCAAGTAGTGAAATGCTACTATTCGCAGCTCTCTGTTCATTTCTGTGCGCTGTGTGTTCGCAAGCTAAATAGCTAATAATCGTAAGCTGCAAGATATCGTTAACACACGTTGTGATATTATTCACAGCTCCCTTTTTATTTCTGTGCTATTGTTCGCTAGTAAGCTAGCGAACACACAGTTCACAGAACGTGTTCAAAACGGGTCGAACTTGAGCGTTGAACTTGCCATCACTGCAGATGACATAATCAATAGCTAGCTAACGTTAACTATTAAACTACTCAATGAGTATGGAAAAGCTACATCTGCTGGCTTAGCAAGGATGGCAGTTACGGTCATTTTGATAATATTTTGCCTGTTTTATATACGATCGTAAATATATCTAGCTAGTGCAAAAAGTTTCTTGTATATACTGGAATAGGAGCTCGAGCAATTGTTTTCTGCTTTGCAATTTTTTACTGTAACGTGTTCTCATGGACCCGCCCTGCAAAAAGACCGGTCTTTGCTACCCTGAATGTGCTCTCTTGGAGCTGGTTTGAGCGACTGAACAAATATCGATAGCGAAAAGTGTTTCACTGAGTTTGATGCAGAAAAATGAGATTTGTCTAACACTTGTATCAATCTTAATCCGAACAGTGATAATGCTGAGGCCAGGAAAAAGTCCAGCAGAGGGCAAAATTGAAACTCAATACAGCTATGCCACAATTTTGCTGAGCCATTTGAGTTGATGTTTAAAAGCATTTGGTCCAACGGAGATTTTAGCTAAGGCATCTCTTACATATTACTGCCTCTACCTCAAAGATTTTAAGTCCAATCTACAAAATGGAGGTACCATACTGAAGAGGAGAGTCTGTTGAGCAAAATATGTCAAGATTGTGCGTGTAGCGCCAAAAATGTGGGAACACGAGCAAGTTATAAAACTGTCTTTCAGCTTCCCAACCGGAATTTTCTTGTCTGATTTAATATAGGAGTTAATAGAGTTTCGGTTAGTGCTCCCGTCGCTTTTAGGCTCATACTGTCAAAACTGTCTGTCGGCTATCTTGCATAGTTACATTTTTGTGACCAGCGCAACTTTTGCTACAACTTGGATATAAAAATATTTATGTGGAGTGAAAACTGTGGGAGTTAGATTAAGTTTAAGAGAAGACCTCTTTACGATTTTACAGCTGTTCGCCACTCTAACAGTGACGTCGCCACACGATAAGTTCCCAGTATGTATTGCAACAGAAATTATTTTAAAAAAATTATAATTAAAAAATTATAGAAGTTATGAAAAATTTGAACAGTGAAAAAATTATACAAGCTTAACTTAACATTTTGCAGTTTGATTCACATTTCTTGGTAAAAGTATGACAGAGTAAAAAAATGGCAGAAAACAGCTGAATCTACTGAATCAGCACAAAAATGGCTTGATTTAATAGGACCCCAAAAAATGACATTTAAAATTAAATATTTCAAAAACTAAAAATAAAATTAAAAATCTGTACAGATGCAACGTAATTCAGAATTAGCTGAATTTTTTGAAGTTTGAACCGAATCAATAAAACGGTGTAGGAGGGTTAGTCAGCTAAATTTAGGCGGAAGAAGAAAAAAAGAAGAAGAAGAAGAAATAAGAGAATAGAGTGCGTTGCTTTGCTGAAGCAAGCACACAACAACAACAACAACAATAATAATAATAATAATAATAATAAAAATCATTGAAGCAAGCTCACAATTACCTTGTCGTTCCCTCAATAACAGTGTTTCCCAACCCTCTCTTCAGGACTCCCCAGCTTGATTCAGGTATCTGATGTATTCTGTCCCAAGCACAACTGATGTAACTAATCAAGCTCTTGTTTATAAGATGCATAAGATATATTTTATTGAAATGATTGGGGTCATCTTGATTTGACCCATCCTAATTGAGCAGAGGACAGCCACAGTGCAGTGCCACGGTCCAACTTCAGTTCTATAGCCCGAGCCTCAGTCAGGGGCAATGCCAGGAGTGTTCTTATAGTGTATGTTTATTTAGGGTGGGGGAACCAGAGTCTTGGAAGAAACCCATATGAACATTGGGAGGACATGCAAAATCCACACAGCAAGGTCCTGGCTGAGTGGCACTTGAACCCAGAGCCTCCTTATTGCAAGCCAACAGTGCTAACCATTGCACCACCAAGCCACCCAATGCTTCACTCCAAGAACATGTACTGTAATAGCTGACTGATGTAATAGTTGTGACCCTCACTTTAAACTCATTCTCAATAACAGCATCTAATAAAAATCCAACATGAAATATAAATCTGAGTGAACCAAACCTCTAAGCCATTGGACTGGCTGTAAAATCCTATTTTATGTTAGAGGCTGGATGCATTTCTATCGAGTCTCATTGTGTTATTCCATTAACTAATAACGGCATATATCCCATGCAAATATGACAGCTCATCTTTGAAAACTGTCACTCACTATAACATTTCTCTCGTGCGGGTGCTCTGGCATCCTTGATATCCTTGACAATTTACTTATAATTCCTATAGCAAACCCTGTCACTCTACCTATAATAAGGCAGCCTTGACAAGGTATAACCATGTATCATGCATGCTTGCTAGACAACCCAGCCCTTGCTAATGCATCATCACCATTCACAATACACTATTTCAAACATCTAATATGGCAAATGGTCAAACTGCTTATTAGAAATCAGCCTTTCCTGAAATCATGCATATTTTCTTGCAAAGTTTTTAAAGACAAATCAAATCTATCCACAAAATATTTTGATTAAGCGCATACTTAAGCCTTCATAAATAATTATTAATTTACTACTAATTATCATTGTAAAGCATATGGGATGCTGAAGTATGTGTGTTTAGACTGTCAGGCCCACCTTGGACCTTGAATAATTGTTAGCGTTGGTTAAAAAGGAGACAACTTTTTGCAACTCCTCTGATAGTCCACACTTGCCAGTGACGGGGAATGATTAATGCAGGGCTCATTGCAATACAGAAAAATTACCATGTCTCAAATTTCTAAGTAAAAATCCTGAAAGAATTTGAGTGTTGTTCTTTTCAGTGAAACAGCAAATGTGGCTGGCTACTTACTGATTGATAATGAACCCTTTAATAGTGTCATGAATCATATGATCATACTTTTGTGTGATTGCTAGAGGTGTTTAAGTAACTTTTGCTTGTTCTGCATTTTTTAATGTTTTCATTAAATGGATATCAAACTCAGAAACCTCAAGCTTTGAAACTAACAAGATTTGAGTGTATTATAATGAAGCAGCTGGTCTGCACATTTTGTATAAAAGTCCCCATGGGGAATTATACATTTTTCTGTAAGTCTGAGTTTTTTTTATAATACTTAGAACTAAGAACTTTGTTTTCCATACTTAGGCAGCCCATGGCCTACTTAAGAGTGAATGCACACAAAAATCTAGCAAGAGGTGGCCACAGCTGAAAAATCAACCTACCCTAATTTTGAGTTTATGAGAAGCGATTGGTGAGTTTTAAAGGGTTCTGGGGTTTATTTTTAAATTCTAGTCGAATTTTGTGTGAAAAACGGGATTTTAGAATTTCGCCGGTCCATGACTAGAAATTTGGGTCAAATACACTGGCCTGAAAAACTTGCTTTCTGAAGCCAAACAACGCATTTTCCTCACTTAAAAATGCCTAATTTGCACAAAACAGACATCAAACAATTAATCTTTGACAGTTTCCATTTTTAGAGGATTTTTGTGACAGCTACAGTACAGTCGCCGTTAAAACCAAAGAAAAGGTTGTTAATCTGTCAGTAGGGGGGGCGTTAGGCTGTCGGTAGGACCAGGAAATCTTGTCGTTAGCTGTGCGGTAGGACAGGCGTCTTGACGCGCACGAAGACAAAAGAAGACCTCCCGCCGCCTACCACGCACGCGGTAGCTGGGCGATAGCCCGTTAGCCAGGTGTTTGTTTAATCATAAATGAGCCACGAGGGCGGTTGGGGCGGTCGTGTTGACAGTAGTCCGTACATGTAGATAATCCCACAGCTTTTTGGCGATTTATTTCCATATATGAATGCAAGAGTAACATTAGCCAACATAAAATATTGATTTGCTTTGGCGGGGGTGATGTCACCGGTAGTCATTTCTGCAAACCTTTTTATATTAGACGATACAGTTTGCTCAACCTGTGCTATTATTTAAAACTTTAGTGCGGTATAATACGCAATTGGATTATTAAATATCATGCTATTTTTGGTGAGGATTTTGTTCGTCAGTTAGCCTATCATTTCTGCAATATTTTATGTTCGGAGATAATGTGTGCTTTTATGTACTATTATTTACACTCAAGTGCCGAAATATATTATTTTTCCTGTTGCAAACCTGTAATTTAGGAGCTTATATCCATTCCTATATCGAAGATTACTCGCACCCCGTCTCAGTAAAATTCATCTACGGAAAGAACTTGAATGTTTTTCGAATCATATACTGTTTCGTTTTAAAATGCTAATAGGCAATTTTTAACCAATTTTTCATGACAAAACGTTTTGCATCGTCTGTATTTGTTTTAATGATTTGTCATAACCATTCAGATGTTCAAATATAATGTTCGCAAAGCTTGCAACTAGAAAAGAATTGTGTACAATATGAATTTAGTTCGACCATAACGAATGCACTAAAAAAAAAAAAAAAAAAACAAGCAAAATAAACTATTTGTGGAACCTTACACAGGTTATTTTTAGTAAGCTTATTATATATCAATCAATAAGGAAAACGCAATTAAAAAAAGATCTGCTCAATATCTTATCTCTAAAGGACAATAACTAAATGTCACTTAAAACTGAATGGCTCTTTCGTAAACTGAATTCAGGGAATTAAAAGTGGATACACCTGGCACTGATTCAATGCAGCTCAGTTCGCGTCATGTCTATTTATTACTCATTGTCACCCTAATAATCCCTTTAAGCTCATTGTAGCCTTTTAAAGAATTAATGACCTGCTCAGCGCGTGGCAGAAATTTCCTATAAAATGCTCAACCATAAACTGACATATCACATTCACAACTATGGAACCTATCACGATATGACGCATTTCCCCACAGTTTAGGATGAAGATTGACTCCTTGGCGAGAGACAACCTCACACCTCCGCAGATCCGAAAATGCATAGCCTAATTTCGGAGTATAACGTGAGCATAAGCTCACAGGCTATTAAGTTGTATATTGCCAATTTGTTTATTTATTTTGCGGTTGGCTTTTCAAAACCAATAAATCAATTGCGGCACACTTCGTTGAAGGTCTACCCACAAACTCTCAGAATCACAGTCTCTGCAATAAAAAGACATATTTAAAATACCAAAAAAATTCCTTCAAGAATACAATTGCTTATATTACCCTGTTGAATTTATCATATTTTTTTTTTCTTGTTCATGCTAGGCTTTTTAAACAGAGGAAATGATCAGCCACACGATTTCCAGAGGTCGCATAAGCTCTCACTTCCACTTTCACTGCAAGAGAAAATAAAAAGATGTTAAAATACATAACGGCAAACACAAATGTAATTCTAACAGTCAAAATGCCCTCTATTCTATAACTTACACGCGGTACTACATTTAGTTCCGCGGAGCCACATTTGGCTATTCCTGGTGGTAAATTGTCCTGTGATACGGCTCATTGGTCAGCAGTGTGAAGTACCGCGTTATCGCGCGTTAGATCGTGGTTAGAAATGGGTTAGAAGGGCGAAATGTCCGAGGTAACTGGGCGTTAACTAACGCCGTCGGTTTTAACAGCGACTGTACTGTAATTAGTGCATTCTCGTGGAGTCAAATAACAACAAGGTGGTTTACCGTGAAAACTAGAATGGCTCTAGCACTGGGGGCAGTGATTTTCATTGCTTCAAAATCAGGATGTACAAAGTTGAAACATGATATTTCAAATATATCAAATCATTTTTTTGGCATCTTAAGTGAGCGCCTTAGAAATTGCCCACGAACCCGGCCCAATTCTGTCAAATTTCCTTGGTGAGTGAATGTTTACTTGACCCTTTTGTTTTTAAAAGCGAAGTGCGAAATCCCCAATAAAACACAAAACAATAACATGAAATACAAAGATAATAGTTTGGTTTGACTTATTTTCCAAGAGTGGTCGCTCACCGGCAATTCTGGACGGATTCATACTCTGCTTAGGCATTCTTTGGTGTTCAAAATACCAGGACGAAGGGTTCGTTATGCATTATTCACATGTCCAGCTGCGGTATTTCATAATGCAGGAAATCTCAAAAATGATCACCAGACACAAATGATCCACTGCTATTTTCATAGTTAGAACCTCTGGAATCTAGTTTCTAATTGAACTCCTGAAAGTGCTCTGCGATGAATCCCGAAATGATCGAGTCTCCATTTGAACCGAACAGCCGAGCTCGATTGTATGGCGGGCTGTCAAATAAGCCTGCCAATTTTCAACCCTTGCGTGACATGTATTGCACATCATTTCATTCGCTAGAAATGGTGTGCGCTGCGAAATAGCGGGGACAAAGTGTAAACTGTGAATAAAATCAAAACGCAGTGACTTTCAAATAACACCAGCCAGTATTTTATTCATAATAAAACAGATAACATAGCAAATGTTGAAACTGAGAAATTTTACAATTTTATCCACAAAATGAGCTCATTTCAAATTTGATGGCTGCTACAGGTCTCGAAAAAGCTGGGACAGGGGCCTGTTTACCATGGTGTGGCATCCCCTCTTCTTTTTAACACGGAGTGGAGGCATCGGGGCATTGAGGAGACAAGTTTCTTGAGTTTAGCCATTGGAATTTGATCCCACTCTTGTTTAATACAGGCTTCCAGCTGCTGGAGAGTTTTGGGTCTCCTTTGAGGGACTTTTCATTTAATTATGCACCTAACGTTTTGAATCGGTGAAAGATCAGGACTGCAGGGTGGCCAGTTCAGCACACAGACTCTTCTACTATGAAGCCATGCTGTTGTAATAGCTGCAGTGTGTGGTTTTGCATTGTCCTGCTGAAATACACAAGGCTTTCCCTGGAATAGATGTCGTCTGGAGAGGAGCATATGTTGCTCTAAAACCTTTATATACCTTTCAGCATTCATGGTGCTTTTTAAAACATGCAAGTGTCCCACACCATATGCACTAATGCATCCCCATACCCTCAGAGATGCTGGCTTTTGAACTGAACGCTGATAACAGGAGG